TGATTGGAAAAATATTTTTCATTATACAATACACATAGAATACATAATATGCATAGTAAATAAATCACAGTAAATGAATCACAGTACATAAGAAGATAAATATCTAAGCCAATGGTTCTCGAACATCTGTAACATACAAGGCATGAGTAACAAGAGAGGGGACACAACAATATGCACAGTAAATAAATTAATAATATGCACAGTAAGTAAATTGATGGTTGTCGAATGCCTGCAACAAACAATGGGTTAGTAACAAGAGAAAGGACGAGTATGAGTCGCGCGCCCACCCTCCGCGACGGCTCACGAGAAAGTGAGGAAGCTAACGCCGTTATGTATTGGGCGTACGTAGGTATTACGCAACAGCTAGTTTCTTTGTTACGTTTGTTCGAGTTGAATTGTTTTTGCCGGCTTGAACGACCTTCCTCCTTGAACGACCCAAACACCAGATGGTACGGCCAGGTACGGCCATGGTACACGGCTACACGGCTAGGTCAATAAACTGTGTGACGCAACGTCACTAGCGTGTTCGACCGACGGAGAGCACCGATACCGCGGCACGCTCTACCGTACTCTCTCACTCGCACACCTCCCCCCATAGACCCCTGAAATTCTTCGGCACGCGTCAACACCGACGGAGAGCACCGATACCGCGGCTCGCTCTACCGCTCTCGCTCGCACGCCGTGACGTCACCCGATTCCCGGAATCCCGCGGCTACGAGATGGCTCATTACGGTAAGGCATTCCTGCAAGGGAAATTGTAAGCCGCCGGCCAAAAGGTAGATTTGATAAACTATTTATGAAACTACATCTATTCTGAATTTATCTGTTACAAATATACAAATGTAAGACAAGATATAAAAACGAATAAAACAAGAACATGTAAAAAGTAACATTAATGAAATGTCCATTAACGATGTATTTAGAATAAATTGTCTTGTAGTTAAGTGAAAAAATATATACTTTTCCGTTTCATGTTTCATTGTTAGCATTTCTGCTAATAGTACTCAGAATTCATGCTTTATCGGTAACGTCGGGTATTGAAAGTAAATGGCAACAGAGTTCTTCTATCGACAATTGATTAGAAAATTTGTAACTATTGAAGACGAATGTCAAATGATAATAATATTAAAAAATATTTGACCCATGAACATTAGATTTTTTAATGTTCACGCCTTTTTATAACGTATAGATTTGAATTTAAAAAATTGAAAAAAAAATGTAATTAATTACATTAAAAAGTAAGAATACAGATTTTACCAGGGAATGAACAATATTAATTGTTCATTCATGAACATTGTTTGAATATGAACCGAGGAACTGAAAAACATCAATAATTAATGATTTGCTTCTTTTAATAATTTTATTTACTCGTTTTTATATACAATGTTTATTCATTGGTATATGTTCATTTACTGGCGCATCCACCCTATAATATTCTTACTTA